ACGATGAGCTCTGTACATTTCATATATGGTCAGTGCCACTTTGCGTCTGATACCGACGCACCGAGGTCCAATTGAGCATCTGTATGAAACGCACCGGGCTTTCGACTAACTAATGTCAACTCATCTGTTTTATTATTGGACGGTCAGAGCAATAAAGAGCACAGAAAAGTCTGGGCTGGTGGAAGGTGAGGACTGCTGTTCTTGTCCGTTGTGAAACCAATTCAAAGTTGACAAATTTTAGTCTGAATTTTAGTATTTTGGTATGTCATTTCCAGACTTAACTAACTGTAGTTACATAACATATACTCATTTTAACCCAAACCACAATCTTTTCCTTATCCTAAAGTTTTGTTTCCTGAACCTAACCAAGTACTTTTGTTGCATTAGTAATTCTAAAAACGAAGTAAACCTACTTAGTTTATTTTGAAAAGACGCTGTGCATATAACGAGCGTAAAAACTGACACGCCGTCCCTGACATAATCCAAAACTGACGCTAGAGAGGTACATAGAGCGTCACAGTTTGAAGAGTAGGGCCACCAACCAAACATCTTTATTTGACAGAGTTGTGAGTGACAATGTTTTCTATACACACATATACATACTGTACACATCTATTTCGACAAATGAAGGGATCCCACATGCAGTGCTGGCACATGCTCAAAACGTGTCTATAGATGGATAAACCCATACTCACATGCGCTTGAAAAAACAGAAAATGAATGCACATAGGTGTAAGAACAAAAAGAGGTGAAACACCCTCCGTACTTCCTTCACTGCCATGACTGAGGCAGTGAAGGAAAGCTCAGGCAGCTGAGGTAAAGCATGATGACAGATAAATGAGTTGAGAAAATGTGCTCTGAGAGGATCAGCCAGTGAGAGGAGTGAGGCTCCAATATCTGACTTGGACTCCTACAGTATGTCTCCTATTTCTTTAATCCTTACCTCTCCTGTTCGCCACCTTTTTTTCCCTCAGTTTTATCCCTTTTCTGTACATACATCTGATTCATTTTGATACTGAAAGGAATCCACAAACAACAGTTTATTGGAGCACTGTTGTCAAATGGTTTGGAGCATTTTGTTACTGTTATCTGTGTCAGGGTGATGGTGGCAACACACCTTGCTGAGCAGCCCGTATTTGTCCTGTTTCTTCAGTGCAGGATGTCTCTCCAGCTCCTCTCGGGACATCCTGGGATTCTCTCTTCGACAAGCTGGGGTGTCCCAGTTTCTCATGGGATCTACTCCCCCAGTATATCAAGCCCTGGCAAAAGCACTGACTTGTCCTTGACATTGATCACTGACCTTTTCAATTTCAAACGCAGTGTGTGGAGAGTGAGTTGACAAGAAAAATAGCAGCGGTTAAGAGCCCTGTCTATACACTGACATGTTGGGTCAACAAATGCAGTGAGCCGTTCTAATCCTAGATATTTCTGCAGGTGATGTCTTCAGACTGTGGCTGTTACTGTGAAAATGCTGTTTCGTCAAGTGGCTTTGAGGACCAATTTAAGGCAGACTTTAATGCAATACTTTGTGACACAATAATGGGTACGGTTTTACAATTTAGATACAGATAAATACCTAAAATGTAAGTAAATATGACTAAGTTTGTTTGGTCTTCTTTAACTACTGTCATGACATTAATTGAAGATCTTACTCTTTGTCTTTCCATATCATTGCTAAAAACAGTGGTTAAGAAAATAATTGAGACCAATACAAAAAACAAAAAGACAGCAGTGTCCTCTGTGTATCCAAGACAGCATACACTGCCACCAAGCTGCTCCCTGCACTATAAGTAATGCTGTGCAGCATTTGTTGCCATGTCACGTCTTGACCAGAATAGGGAGGAAGCTATGTTTTTCCTGGAGATGTAGAAGCCGGCAATACTTGAAAGGATCCCTGGGAGGCAACACCTACACATGGGAATGCTGCGCAAGAATACCAGGAAACACAGGCATGATGAGGCTGCTGTGACAGCTGAATCAAACAATGCCCAAGACATTGGCAAAAACTTGTGGCACCGATGACCAGAGAGTCTTGGAAGCTCCTCGGCGGTTGGAACATGTCAGTACAACATGGCAGACTCCGTGACGGGGAACCTCTCCTTATGTAGATATGAAGGGTGATTATACATTCATGGAACTAGTTATTAGTATTATATTCCACTTCTGCAAATAGGTCTTTCGAAATTCAACACACCTCTACGTTTTAACATAGCAATCAGATTTAGTAGATCACTTGTTTGTAACTAGATAGTTTGAAAAACTTATGAGGGACAATATGTTAAAGATGCATAATTCCTGTCAGGTCTTTGCAATGTTCATTGGCCTTGTAGTTTCTTGTTTTTGGTTCACTTAGAGGCTCTGGTCCCATCGGTGCCGAGTCCAGCTCAGTATCACGTATGCGCAAAGGGCCCTTGGGTGCTCAGTATTCCAGAATACGGGTACGGGCGGCAGCCCAGGACAAAGCAGCTCTACTTCATGTTCCCAGGCTCTTTCATTTGAGATAAAGATGACATCACAAAAACTCAGGGTCACATAAATGGGATTTTGTCATCGAACCATGAAACAGGGGAACCGTGTGGTGAAGATTTAATTGTAGTCAAACCAGTCGTGTGTTGTTGTTCCCAAATAACCATCTTTATGTGTGACGACAGGCTCTCTGTGTCTCAGCGGCGGTTAGAATGACCTTGTCTTTGGCCGACAAACTGGGCACCTGACATCTTATTTTGCTCTCATCCTCTTTCCCCTCCACACACACACACACACACACACACACACACACACACACACACACACACACACCCAGATAAACAGACACACAGGTGCAGTGACAGTAAGTGATATGCCAGACGTTCTCTCATCACAAAGACTTATCATACACAGACACACACATTGTAGAGGCAGGCTTTCCAGGCTGGTGGACACATGCACACACACACACACACGCACACACCCACACCTAAAACACACACACACAGGTGTCTAGTGGTGAGGTTGTGGGGACAGTTGATCCCCAGACAGATTAGGCTGCAATCTGAAATCTCCTCAGGCCAGCCCTGAGATCATCACACACACACACACACACACACACACACACACACACACACACACACACACACACACACACACACACACACACACAGCTTTAAAGTCACAGGCAGAAGTGACTTAACTCTTGACTAGTTAGTTGAAAAAGTTTGAGGAGAGCATGGAACAGTCCTACGATCAGAGAATTTTTATAAGGCAGCCATCTCCTTTTCAATATTTTTCAACAGAGCTTATCATCTTAAGACTCGCAGGTAACGCATTCCACATACTGTAACTGCTGCTGAATACCCATTCTGCTTTTGAATCTGAAGTGGCACACAATCAGTGGTGCTCCCTCCAGTTGGATAACTGTGGACGTCTCTAACCCGAGAAAAATAAATTCAGAAATATTTGGGTACCACATTTTTCACAGCTATAAAAGTTATACATTTTGATGAATGATACTCTCTCTCAAGGCTGATAAAATGAACAGGGAAAAATGTGTTTGGGCATGGACATGGAGGTAAAGAATTAACCTAATCTAGTTTGTTTTGCAGGTCTGTCTTAGGGATGCTAGTATACCATGAAGTGCAGGCTTAATAAAAGGAGATCAAGAGCATTTCTGACTATTAAAGTGGATATTCGAGCAAGAATTTAGATTTTTTTGACTGACCTTTGAGAGAATGCTTAATGCCATTCTCTCACCAGATAGTTTGTTGTCTAATATACAACATAAGTACATAACAGATTCCTTGGCTGTAACTTCAAAGTCATCTACTACCACTCCGAATCCAAGAAATGTCTTTCGTTTTGCATTTGACTTAAATTGACTCTGTTTTGCCAAAGTGACAGCTTGTTTTCTGTTAACCGGGTGCTAACTTTGTGGACTGAACTAAGTCATTTTTCTTGTAATTCATCATGAAAACAGACTAGGAGAGCTGAATCATCAGAAAGAAAAGTGGACATAAAAAGCTTCCCTGTGGGACCCCACATTTTAGAGGTTGTGGTTTGGACATGGTTCCTTTTACATCCACCACTTACTCTCTGCCCCCCTGCAGATGTGATAAGCTTCGTACCGCGCATCTATGCGGCGATTATGTTATCAAAGAGAAGAATAAGGTAAAAGTACATGTTGTGAATCCCTGAGTTCTTGGAGGTATAATTCTACTCACTGATCCTCTAAATAGAAAGGACAGGTTCATCACAGCTCTATTGTTACTGCTGTTAATCCAAGGTATTTCAAGCTGCTGCTAGAAGGAGGAAGATGCAGGGAGTATATGATACTTGACAAAATCACTCAAAATCTGCCAACCCTTCACTGATACCTGCCTCACCCTGCCTTAAAGGTTTGCTAACTCGCACTGACATAATTTTGCCGGTAGAATTTAAGTATCGGCCTTCACCTTCATCTCACCTCCCGGAGAAGACACACCATGCTGTCAGATCAATAGTTTAGTGAAACCCTCACTAAAGGTAACCCTGCGTGGAGGATTCTCTCTTCACATATCTTGATCAGACGAGATGTGTTAAGGGCCACTGGTGTGGATTGCTTTTTTCTTTCTCCAGCACATATCATTATTTATCAGCTGTGTAAGTGCTGAAGCTACCGCTCTGTCTTCTAGAAGCTAGAAGCTTCCTGAAAATGCTAAGAAATTACAAAAAGGCATAAAAGCTTGAGTTATTTTGTGGAGGTTTGACTATCCTCTGCTCTCTCT